CTGCAGCAGGTGCTGTGTGACCATGTTATGAACTGATGCTTCCTGTCCATGTATTGTACTGCTGTGACAGGTGCTGTCTGGCCAACTGGTGGCTTATCATAACACTGCGAAAGGTTTGGTCCAGTATCACACTGCTGTGAAAGGTGGCTTTAGGTGTATGACACCGAAAGAACTGACAAAGCAACAGTAATTGATGACTTTGGAATAAGAACAGGCTAGCTGTTTACACCAAACTCCTACTTAACAATTGTTATGTAACTCAAAAATGGTAACGTCAGACAATTTTTGCCTCTTTTTCTTTGTCAACAGTGAAAATTAGTCATCCTCAATATTTGCTGTGTTATGGTTTCAGAATGATGAAGACAGTTGGGGAACAATTACATTCAAAATACCATGCAGGATCAACAGGATGACTTTTCTTCTTCAGCAGCTAGCAGCTTCCTAAAGAATGTACAGATTTTTAGACATTCTATCATCTCAAAGTGCATGTTCCTGCCATAAAAGGAAATCGCATGCCTTTGACCCCTCTTAGGTTTGGGCTAAGCCCCGACTGTTTGCAAGATCTGGCTTTGCCCTAGCTATTTACTCCACTCATTTTTGTGTGACAGCTGGTCTCCTTTGAGGTTTCGGTGTTTCACAGCCTTCATGTGCAGTAAAAACCATGTATCTCTAAATCTGGTTGGAATTTTTCAGATTAACTAAAGGATTAAGTATTCCTTTGTGGGCTGTTAAGGAAATTCTTCTACTTTCCAAGATAAATAAACTCTTTAAAAACCCTCTTGGATCAGCTGGAAAATGCGTCCTCACAAAGGTGAAACAGGGCTGCTTTTTCTGAGCTCATGAAAAGTTGACTGTAGGACATATGTGGATCTCACACGACAGCCACACTACAAACATATGATGATTTATACTGTAGAATATGATGCATTGCTGTAGACTGAACTACCCTATAGTATTTTAAGTAGTTAATTCAACCCAGAAACATCCTTTATAATAGTGAAACATTGAACAGTGACCATGGGGGTGGCACAGTGGTGCAGCAAGAAGATTCCTGGTTCAAACCCAAGCTGTTCTGAGCTTGCATGTTCTCTCCATGTCAGTGTGGGTCCCTTCTGGGTACTCCGGCTTCCTCCCTCAGTTCAAAGACATGCAAGTCAGGTTAATTGGTGACTCTAATTTGCCCATAGGTGTGTACCTGAATTTGTTCATACATTGCAAACAAATTTAAAACTGCCTCAGGCCTTCTGTATGCACAGTTGTGAAGGCCCTGCTGTCTTAGAAAATGGAACAACACACCTTTTAATTAAATCCATAGCATATTAAAACTGCATTAATCAAAAATGTTTTAATAGAGAAAAATATTTAACAGCCTCTCAGCTGTACTTTGCGTCGTTAATTTAATTCTGATCTGATTTACAGTATCTGGGGGGATTTTGAGTCTGGTTTTCATGAAGTCCTTTATCAGTGTTTCTGGGTTGTCAGATGGATGTTCGGGTATGCCGGAGAAAATTAGGTTATCACGCATGCTTCTGGTTTGTATGTCCAATATGGTTTCTTTCATTTTTTTGTTTTCCTTCATGACCGAGTCCATGTTAACGGGGAGCGATTTGACGGTGGTTTGAAGGGAGTTGTTTGACTGCTCTAGCTTTATGATATGGCTGTGGGCAAATTCAAGGCTCAAGGGAAGATCTTTTATTTCATTATGGAGTGTTACCAGTAGGTCAAGTTTTTTGTTAATGGATTGCAATACACTGACCTCAATGTCTGTAGTCTCAAGATCGCTGGTGTCTGTGGAAGTATTTTTCTGTTTGTTTGGATTAGTTGGATCTTCCGGAGCGTTAACGTTATCCATCTGGCAGTTGTTGTAGTGGTGGTCGATAAACGCTTCCAGATCAGCCAGTATGAACACAGTATGTTCCGGTTGTTGATTACGGCCTCAGATATGGATTTTGTGTTGTTTGGTGAAGAAATAAAGTCCAAAAGAAAAAGTCGCAGAGTGTCTGTTGATCACTCGCAGGGTGCCGCCATCATGATTCTCACCTCCTCACACAGCGTCTCGCGATACTCAGCCATCCATCACTCCGATACTCCCCCCCCGGTGAAACTTCCTAATCGATTGCATGAGTTGATTTTGTCACAAAGCTCTGATCCACACATCTCACTGGTAAATCCCAACAGACCTGGGTCTGTGGGTGCGGGAGCTGAACGCCACTCCATGCTGGAAATCTACAACTGATCCTCATATTGATTTTAATGAGGAAATGGGGGTGTACAGAAAAACTAAATTGTGACATTGAGACTTCCCGTTCAGTTGTGTTTGCAGACAAAACTGGTTTTGATGCTGACATGTGCATGGTTAAATCCGTTGCAGACATCCCAGAACTACAGCAGGTTCCCGCTTATCTCTGGGCTAAAAGTAAACATGATGTTGGTCTGATCAAAAACTGTGAGCCTGTGATAATAACACCTAAATCAGACTACAGACCCTGTCGTAATCAATATCCTCTCAGACGTGAAGCAGTTTGTTTTTTTTTAATTTATTTTCAAATAAAAACACAGGCAGGACAATGAAACAACCAAACAGACATCATCAACAACAAACAAACAAAACAAAGTACAAACAAAAGAAGAAAACAAAAACCAAACGGGTCACTCATGTAAAAGTTAATTATACAATAAATCCATCTAGGAAAACTTGTAGTACTGAGGGGGACACTCTGGGATTGATAAAGTCAAGGTCTTTCTGCTGCAAGGTGGTTGCGTTACAATGCTGTTCTGTTGGAATTGCCTAACATTAAGGTAAAGAGATGTACTGTAATTAATCCTGCTACTCTTCTCCCAACAGCTGTTGATGGAGAACCGCATGACTGTGTGGCTGTGATAACTTCTGCTTGCTCTCCCAGGCCTTGGGGGGTGGTTCATGATTTTGGACAAATTTGGAAAAACAGGGATTTCTTAACTTCAATGGGGAAATCTATTGCTCATCACGCGTTGGTGTCTGCTCTTTTGGATGCTGTGTTGTTGCCTAAACAAATTGCTGTGTGTAAATGTGAAGCTCACACTAACAGCACTGACCCCATCTCTCTGGGTAATGCATTGCTGAAGCTTAATGTCAGTGCAGTAAACTATGAGGGAACAACCGTGAGGTTCTGGAATGTGACAAAGGTGTCACAGCAAGAGATATACCAACCTGTCATGAGCACTAACCCCAAGAGCCAGAGAGGAGTTGTTTGCTTCTCTAGAAACTGTGCAGTGGCGGAGGATCACTTTCTGGGCACATCTGCCTGTGCACAGACAGTTGTGGCTACGTGTGGGGTGATGTGGGATCGCAACATGGACAACTGCAAAGGTGCGACACAACACGTTGCAACTTTAAATCTCAAACACTGTTAGTCTTAACTGACCAGGAATCCCAACCCCGCTGTCTGTATGCCATCCAGTGATGGGTATGGATCACTTAGACATCACGTCTGGGTGTGTGGCAGACATGTTTACCAGGCACTTTAGCCTGGATGGTGTGGCTGGTGCTACTTGGCTAAGTTACTGCCTGCTGTGACTATTGTCACACAGACTATGATCACTACTACCCACCGCACAAAGCAAGACGAGCTGTGGTAAGGGTGCCCCCCTGACATCACATGTAGGGATGTAACGATATGGAAAATTTGATGCTCATCTTAATGATCTGTTACATCTGGACAAGAGTCGTGACACTGAGCTCGGAGCAGGTGTGGACCTGTGGTCCTGGTTTTCTCTGAGCGGATGGAAAGCTTCATTAATGCATCTGTTTGCCCCTGTCGTGATGGTTCTGCTGATGCTATGCATTGTTATGTGTTGTATCATTCCCTGTGTGAGATCCATGACTACATCAATGGTATCATCTGCACATTCATTTTACTTTTTAATCACATTTTACCTTATTTCACATTGATTACACTTAACATTAGATTAGTAAACACCATATTTACTCAATTTTACATTTTTACACACCATATTTACTCAATTTTTCATTTTCCATTTTTATTACTTGTTTGACAGTCAGTGTTCCCTTTATTGATTTTTACTATTGGGTATTCTCATTAAAGATGACATTTTTTCATTTATGCTTATCTTGCTTTAGTTTAGAGTTTAGTATAAGGGATTTTTTGTCCTCATCATATAGAGGTTTTTTTCCCTTATTAGGTAGTGTAGTCAGACAGACAAGTCTTTTACCCTCTCCTTCGCCACATAGGGAGGGGGATATTTGGCTTGCCTGTGCTTATGGCCTGTGACTTCTGCCTGGGCTTTCATCTCCCATGTTGGAGGCTGGTGGTACTGCTGTTTGGCTGGTACGGGCAGTACTCGTAGGTCATAAGGTCATTAGATAATAGGGAATTTTCCATGCTCAAGGTTTAGCATGAGAATGCTAAACTACTTTTTTTCACCTATAGCGTGTACTGCATGTTTTTATATAAGGGTACTTGCTATGATGTATGACGTATATTGCTCAGTTTAACCCCTACTGTAACAGCAGTGAGAAATACAGCAGAGGCCTAATGGGAATAGGTTAAAGGTTACGAGCCAGGGAGGCTCCCACACCAAGTGTCCTTGCTAGCTTCAAGAGATGTTGTGTCTTAGGGATGTCCGCCACGCATATCACGTGAAACAGCGGAACCACAGCTTTCTGACAAGACCAAGCACTTGTCGGTAGTCCAATAATTTCACAGCGAAAAAAAAAAATGATAAAGTTACATTTATTTATTATTATTTACAATTATGTATAACAGAGCTTTCATACAGCTTTGCACACACATTACTCTTGGATGGATTACTTGCACAGAAATGCCACGCATATCACATGAAAGCGCAGGACCAGAGCTCTCCAGTGATACCACACACATCATTGTGCTGTCATCCCATCATGCTATAAATACAGATCAAATGTCTACAAAATCAGACTTTGTATGACAAGTCCAGTGCACTTCACCTTTGGCCTAGGGCCCATAGGGTTAAACTGCTTATTAAATAATTGTTTTGCCACCACAGCTCCATCTCTTGAAGAGTTCCCTAACTTTTTTCTGGAAGTTTTTTCCTACAATGACGTAGAGAATGGGGTTGAGAACACTGTTGAAGATGCCAAAGTAACTGAAGACCTGGCCGCAGGTGTTTATGATGGCGAGGACGTCACACCCTTCCAGGAGCTGAAGTTGCACAAGTGTTCTTGATATCATCGTCAGGTACAATGGCACCCAGCAGATCATAAACGCCAGGAGGACTGCGAGCACCAGAGTAGTGGCCTTCTGTTCTGTCTGCCTGATGTTTAACCCATCAATTGACCGGTTCTGCAGGGCTTTAATAATCATGAAAGTGCAGAACGAAATAACTGAAACAGGGATGATGAAGCCAAATATTATCTGCATCACATCAAACGCAAACTGTACATGGGTATTTGGGTAATCAAGATAGCATGGACTAGAATTTATCTCTTCGAAATGTGCTACCTTCCTGTAGACAAGTGTGGGGACACCCATGAGCAGGCCAAAACCCCACACCAGCACACAGGCCAGTTTGGCACATTTTGGCCTACGCATTCGTCCATGGGACAGTGGGTGCACCAGTGCTAAAAAACGATCTATGCTAATCAGAACAAGAAAGAAGATGCTGCAGTGAATGTTCACTTTGATGGAAAAGGTGATCAGTGTACACAGGGGAGTATGAAATGGCCAGTTGAATTTTTTGGCTGCATACACAGCCCAGAAGGGCAAACAAGTCATCAGGACAAGGTCAGCAATGGCCATGTTGCTCAAGTAGATCTCAGCCACGGTGCAGGCCTTCTTGTGGAAGCAGAAAACCATCAGGACAAACGCATTCAACACCATTCCCAGCACACTGACGAGCAGGATGTACACTGGCAGCACAGTGTAGTGCCATTCCGCGGATTTTGCACCAGGACAATGAGGGCCATGTGTGCTGTTTAGATCTCCAGATAAAGCCACAGTGGTGAAGTTAGCAGGGATGCTGTGGAGGAGGAAGGCAAACAAGACAGAAGATTAAATAGGCTGACCAAATGTCCTCTTTTGCCCGGACATGTCCACTTTTCACGTCCCGTCTGGGGTGTCTGGGTTTTTTTTTTTATAAACTGATGATAATGTCCGGTTTTCCGTGTGTTTGTGTGTGTGTGTTAGAGTGTGGCACGGGCCGCATATTTCTGTCCGAACCCGAACCGAGCCCGACATTATTTAATGACCACAGCACTGAGTTTGTGTCACACAGTTGTTACGGTTACAGGCTATTTAACAGGCCGGGCGTGCTCAGCGGAGAGGGAGACCTCCGTGTTTGAGACGGGAGCCGGAGGCGGGAGGTCCGACGCCTCCAGCGAGAGGAGAGGGAGAAATAAAACAAAATAAGATAAAATAGGAAAAACCTGTCTCCTTCTTTTTTTTTTATCTTCAGCGTTTAATCAAGGCGGAGGCGGGCGGCTGGAGGTCCGAGACTTCCAGCGAGGAGAGAGGTAGAAACAAACAGCCAATGTGTGTCTGTGTGTGTTATGTTCAGGTGTTGTCACAGTGCCCAAACAGTAAACAGGACAGACAATAGGATTTTATTTATTTTGACACTACATTTTCACTGAAAGCTGACCGAATCCGACCCGAGCCCGAATACAATTTATAGCTACATTTTTGACCAAACCCGGCCCGACCTGTAGGGTACCACACTCGCCACACTCTAGTGTGTGTATGTGTCCCCTATTGGGGTCTATCTGAATTTCTGTCTTTGAGAGATATTATTTTGTAATATAACTGAATTTTCTATCCATACATATAAATTTTTAATATATTAAAATGATAAGGCATCTTTGAGTAAACTGCGAGTATCATTTAAGTAGGCTATGTCGTGGCTGGCACAGTGTCCTCTTTTTTGGAAATCAAAATATGGTCACCCTAGATTAAAACAAAGACACTTTGCCGTCGGCGGCTTTTCGGCCGATTGAGCACGTTGAATCGGCAGCGGAGCTTGTCGGTGAGAGAGATCACTCTGACTGGCTGTTCAGGTTTTATTTCCTCGCCACTGTAGCAAGTGAATCTGCCTGTCGTGAAACCGGGGCTAACCGGTGCTTCCTCCTCAGGCTCCACTTCACTCAGCTGCCTGACAGACCCGCTGCTTCTTCCCACTTTAACCTGAATAACAAACTGGAGCTAGCTGGTAGCGGCTAGCGGAGCGTTAGCTGCAGCATGACCAGAGGGAAGCACAGCCAGTTAGCCTCCACTAGTCTCTGAGCTAGCCCCGGCTCTCCACTTGGATCTAACTGGAGCACCGAGCCCTGGTTTGTTAATCAGGATAAAGTGGGAAGAAGCAGCAGGTTTATTGGGCAGCTGAGTGAAGTGGAGCCTGCGGAGGAAACACCGTGACCGTCTGGATGTAATAGTCCGTGGAGGTGCTGTGGTGCTTGGCTGCACAGATAGGAAACCCCTCGGCTGACAGGATGTACCACTCTTTCACTATGCTCTCTCTCACACAGGCGCAGAACGTACGTGCTACTTGGCCATCGGATGTAGTCCGTGTAGTGTGTTCAAATGCAGCTGACACAGGGCGACGTGATGCGATGTAGACAACGGAAAAGTTAGCTTTCGTCGCCGCTAGTTCTTTGATGTCGGTTTGGTGTGTCCGCACCTTAACACAGCTGTCAATGCAGTGTCAAACTACGCAGAGCTGATCAAATATGAATGAATATTCTGTTACTGCTTTGCTTAAATCTCAACTCACGTGTTTTCAGAAACATATTTTAGTGCACTGTTTAGCTGTGAAATGAGAAAGCTGGTCCAGCTAGTGGGCGGTGCTTGGGATTTTGTTTAATTGTATCGGACATCAGTCACAAACATTCTCATTTTACAGCTAAAAAGGACGCTGAAATTTGTTTCTGATATCATTTGAGGCTAGAAATAGGCAATGCAGCAACAGAATCTTGATTCATATTTGATCAGCGCTGCCTGACATGATTGACAGCTTCATTAGAGACGCGTCGGCTCTGATTGGTTGTTTTTTTTGTTCAGGTGCGGTAAGGCCATTAGAAGTGCATGCTGCATGTCAGTAGAGTTGACAGAGGAATATGATTATCCGCCTCATTTAGGGCTGTGTATATGAACAGTTTCAGGATATATAAAGTTTAATTTTGAAAAGTTATCAGCTACAGCTTTATATATTGAACACTGAGTGACATTGGATGTTTAAACAGTTCCCAGAGAAATTGATTGCGCATGAAAATAAGGGTGGGAGCATTTAGACCCTATATGAGGCAGATTTACAGTAATCTTTCTGGCACACCGCTGTGATAACTCCTCAAATAAGACAGCTACAGTCAGGTTTGATGAGTTACTATAAAACAAAGTATAGCTGAGACATTAGCATGGTGTTTTATAGACGATTGTCTTCAGTTTTATGTTTTTCTTTTAAATAATAAAGACCAATAGAGCTAACTTTTAAAATAAAGCTTAAGGTTATGTTACCTATATTTTATAATCAAAGTAATCCTGTTTTTGCAGAATACAATTTCACATTTGTGTAAGCCCAAGCAAGAGGATCATCGAATAATAAATAATTCTTTTTTTAAGTGCCTTACGACATGTGAAGTGCTTACAAATCCTTTTCAAACATTTGTCAAGGATTAATAATGGCCTGTTTTGTGAGCCAGCACCACTCTTGACAAAATGATGAAGACCAGGAAAATAAACCATGCAGAGGGCGCAATGTTTGCTGACATGAGACACTGAGACTGCCATTGTGAATAACTGAAATTAGTAGGATCGTTTTTTATAAGATTCACACTACGTCAGGGGCTGAACATGCCAAAAAAAAAAATCATGTTAAAAATGACTCATGTTCATATAACGATATAGATACATCCTTGACAATGAGCAATGAAAGATGACACCCACTGTGATTTCCTGATGGTTTTGTGGGTAAAACTGACAACATTTGCATATGACAAGCTGCATTCATGACAGTGCATGTCATTAAATGTAATACGTGTACAGCAAAACACAGTCACAAAGAGCCCTGTTTCTATAGTGTTATTTTAAAACAGTAAGAGCAGTCGTAGGAAAGACTCTTTATTTGTCTCTCTTTTCCCCCAGCCTGTGTGCATATACTACAGTTGAACTTTTCCTTGTATCTTAGAATTCGAGGAATTCTAAGATTTTTCTTAGAATGACATCACTAAGAGCTACTTTTAGTCTTAGGATTCTTTGTGAATACGGGCCCAGATTTCTTTGTAAAGGTAAGTACATTTTTAAGTGTCCGTAAACTGCCATTCACAGACACTGTTATTAAGCACAAATTGACATTGAACACTGTTCAGCTGTTGACAGTTAATATCCTGACTACAATTAATGATTAGTAAAACACATGCATGCATACCTTGTAGGCAGAAGAGCCATTCTTCCTGAAGAAGTCCAGATGTGAAATTCAGACACAATACACTGCTCCAGTACTTTCCTCGTCTGTGCTCTGTGCCTCACTCCCTTAAAGGAGAAAGGAAATTGGCCAATTGACGTAATATTGCTTCATTTGCATCCTCCCATGACCCTCTACCACTGTGCCAAATTTCACATGGATTGACTAAGTCAGTCAGGAGAAAAACATCCTCAGTGATGATGTTGCTATTTTACACTATGTCATGGAGGACTAGCAAAAAAGATGATAGTTTATGAATAATCCACACACTGTTAAATGGCTCCCGTAACCATAAATGCAACATTTGGGTCAGATAGACCTCAGTCATTAACTAGGCTACCTTTCCACCATTTATTTGGGTAGCAGAAACAGTCTGGCAACACTTAACAAATACAAATACTCTGTACTAATGTCACATATAGCCTTGTGATACCAACATGTAATTTAAGTCTCGGCCAATGGTAACTGTTTGGGTCGCATTTTCAACATTTCTACATTTTCTGTTATAGTGTATAACATGTATAATAGTGTCGTTTACATCCACACCAGCCACATCTTACTGTCATGTAGTTGCAGATAGTTTCAGTACCATTTCATATCATATGAAGCAGCCTATTTCATTCATTCATTAACACCCACCCCCTCTTCCACATGAGTGCGCTGGTGGCTGGATAGGAAAACCCAGTGTTGACTGGTGTTGACATCAGAACACCCCACAACACACAAATTATCAGTGGTCAGAACGCTATATGAACGCGCAGCAATAATAACAGACCTGGAAGACAGAGCACAGAAAGGAGAAACAAATACATCTTTTACTGTTATGCTGTGCTCACACTTAAGCCATTTCCATCAAACACTTTTAGTAAAGTACCTTTGTAACCAAAAGTCAGACATGGTACCTAGACATTAGGTCCGCTTAGCATTTCCACTGCAAACAGTACTCTTAAATGTGGGCAGAGTTGTTTACACTCGCTGCTTCGTCAAACACCTGCTTTATTTCTTTATCACCAGCAAGAGTGACCATCTGCTACTGACCAATCAACAGACTGCAGTTTTCCCAGCATCACCTTCTGGCACCAGATCTGTGTGCTAGGTACCCCAACAGAGGGGGGACCTAAAATTTTCACAGTGGAAATGGAAAAAAAGCATACAGGGCTTAAAGTGATAGTTCAGGTTTTTGGACATGAAGTTGTGTGAAACGCTGACCATCTGTAGCTCTGATGTGATGGTGTCACTACTGTCAACGAGCCTCCTGCTCTGAGAAATGGCCCGTAGCTTACCGGAGAAAAAGTAGTTCTTAAGATATAAGGGGGACACTTAACCAAAAGGTTTTAAGCTACAGAAAAGTATGCATGTGTTTTGTTAGACCATTTCAATAATTTTAAAACATCCCCGCATTACGTCAGACCTTGCTATCAATTGGGACTATTTTCTGGCCAGTATCACTCCACCGTGCAGGCCAGCAAGACAGCAAGCGAACAGAAATCAATTAGACAGTTCATCACCACGCCATGCAGGTGCGCAGGATAGCAACAGCTAACGAAAACTTCATCGGCGTTTTCCAACAGAGAACCAGTAGGCTATTCCATTTCCATCGGTTTCCTGTTACAGATGTAACCCGTAGGCAACTTTGGCTTGTGTCAATTGGGATGAACCTCGCTACCAAGCCGGCGAGGGTGAAGCAACTGCGCGTATGTCAAGCTCACTTCAGCTGCCCACAGATCCCGACGGACAGAGAAAACACAATTTCCGCACTGCTGTGCCCAAAGAGAGATATATTACCTAATACCAGTCTATATAATGATGTTTGTAACTGATTGTCTGTAAAACAAAATGTTTGATTGAACTAATAGCCTGTTGTGTTGTGGAGAGAACATTATACGCGGCCTCGTTTTACCGTCGGCATTTAGTTTATTATATTTACCTACAGCAGCTGACGAGGGTGTGTCGTGAGCCTGAGCCGGTGTTCACGCTGTAGTAGTAGGTATATATAGGGCTAGTACATCTTTTTCCTCACTAATAATAGCCTACTGGTTCTCTGTTGGAAACAGCCGATGAAGTTTTCATTAGCCGTTGCTATCCTGCGCACCTGCACGGCGTGGTGATGAACTGTCTAGTTTATTTCTGTTCGCGTGCTGTCTTGCTGGCCTGCACGGTGGAGTGACACTGGCCAGAAAATAGTCCCAATTGATAGCAAGGTCTGACGTAATGCGGGGATGTTTTAAAATTATTGAAATACAAAACACATGCATACTTTTTTGTAGCTTAAAACCTTTTGGTAACGTATCCCCTTTATATCTTCAGAACTACTTCTCCGATAAGCTACGGGCCATTTCTCAGAGCAGGAGGCTCGTTGACAGTAGTGACACCATCACATCAGAGCTACAGATGGTCAGTGTTTCACACAACTTCATGTCCAAAAACCTGAACTATCCCTTTAAGTGTGCCAACAAACCAGCGTGACCAGCTACATTATCACAGCTGTTGAAGTGTTGCCCAGCAGCTTGTTAATGTAGCTACGTCTTCACAAGCTTGCGTGTGTCTTGCCAAAAAGCATCTCGACAGAATGTCATCTAAAAAACAAACAAAAAAGCAAACACAGCAAAAACAACCCTACAGTGTTCTTTAACGTGTGAGCCAAAGTTTAACATCCATTTCATGGAGCACATCTGCAGAAAATACATTTGCAACCCCAGATTCTCAGCTGTTGTGTTGAGTTGTGCAATCTTATTTAATCAGGGCAGATTATCGTCTTAACTCCTGTTAGTCACAGTAAATATTATCACAACTTGGCACACAGACATTAAACCATGACATACCTAAGCCACTTGAACTACCACAGCTGTTATATGCAAGTGCAAATATGCAGCTTTCCTATAAATTTCTTATCTGTCTTCACATATTACACTTAAAAGGCGCTGCGTGTCTTACCTGGGATCTCAGTGTGTCTCAACAAGAGGTGAAGGTACAGACGCCTCTCATACCCTTATTTCACCTTGGAACCTCCCACTGATACAACACTTTCTTATGTATCATTCCATAATCCACTAGATCTCCTGGGTCTTAAAAAGTCCCACCCATTACATGTAGAATGTATTATTACTGGTATCATGTTTCAAGCTTTCTTCAGTATCAGAGTTGTATATAGTGGGGCGGCTTAGCTCAATATATCACAACAATCGTTCATTTTGTGATGAAGGCACACAATCTGGTATAGAGGGATATAGAGGGAAGTTAAGTGATAGGAAGTTTGTCATAGATGATGAGGAAATCCCAACAATTAGGGAAAAGTCAGTAAAGAGCTTAGGTAGGTGGTACAATGTGGAGTTGAATGATGAGGAACAGGTGGTGAAATTTAGAAAAGATGTGGCAGAAAGATTGGATAGAATAGATAAATCAGAACTTCCAGGAAAGTTGAAGTTGTTTGCAATTTGGGCTATATTCTAGGTTGATGTGGTCATTGTCAATTTATGAAATTCCAATATCAGTTGTGGAGAGAATTGAAAGTTTGGTTAGCTCCTATATTAGGAAGTGGTTGGGCGCTCCTAGGTGCCTAAGAAGTGTTGAGGTGTGGCATTTGGCAAAATCCAGCTGCAATTACTCGCGCTGGCAAAACAAATGCACACATTCACACAAATGGTTCTTATATTGCCAGATTCCAGAGAGTCTCCCCTCTTCATATATGGCAGAATATGTCAACTTCCAACTTGCTATGGTGAGATACATGTAAAAATGTAAGAATTTAGTAACACAGATTTGTTTTTTTCATTGATATAAAAATGAATATAAAATACAGGCACATAGAAGGACATATAATGATGGCAAATCTGGATAGCCCAGATTGTCCTGAAAAAAAAAACAAGATATAGCATGTGTATGTAGCCTTTATAATGACTGTGATATGAGCTTAAAAGTAAAGGCAGTAAAAATACCCCAAAAAGGCCTAGGGCCCGAGATGTTGACTTCAGACTGCACTTCTCTTGCTGTCTCTGGTTTGTTCACACCATTTGAAAGATTATTTGACCTCCTGCCAACATCCACATGCCCACAGACCTGCATGCCTCTCAGGTTATCTTATTTACTTGTAAGGTTCGGTATGCTTATCGTTTTCTCTCTAAATCTTATTCTACATCTGTTTCTGTGTGCATGTATTTTGACAAGCTAACCTGAACAACAAATAGCATTACACAATGAAGCTATTTTGATTTGTTAGACATATAAAGATAAGTTGCTTTGGGAACATGAATGGGCCCTTTCTGTCTTATTTCACAAACAACTGATCCACACCCTACTTCCCCCATCTTTAAATGAACCAAATCAGTGACATCCACAAAATGAACACAGAAAGCTGTCTTTGTGGCGTCTTATGCAATCAAATATGTTCTTTTGTTTTCTTTTCTTTAGAATTTTGCACCATACCACTGATGCTGAATCTAAAATGAGTGGTGGCTGTTGTCTCTGGTTTGTTCACACCATTTGAAAGATTATTTGACCTCCTGCCAACATTCTCATGCCCACAGACCTGCATGCCTCTCAGGTTATCTTATTTACTTGTAAGGTTCGGTTTGCTTATCATTTTCGCTCCAAATCTCTGTGACTGAAGTGTCATTAGTTCAGTGAAAGCTATATTCTAACAAATATAAACCAATTACATGAGGCAAAAAGAGCAAAAGAGAAATCAAAAAGGAAAACTACTCCCAAAAACAAGAGGAAGAAGAAACATCCTTTATTTATTGTGCTGTTTTTATAGAGTTATCGGCACTGCTGCTTCCCCGAAATGACTGCTGTTTTTTGGCCATTTTTTTGAACTGTTATAACAATGACTAAGTAACATTACTACAACACAGCCAGTGAAAACATGCACGCTGGTGGTTTTACTGCTGTGTGATACCACTAATGCAGCCATGGAACAATAAACCATCTCTTAAAGGTATAATATGTAGTTTTTCCACATAAAAATGTCTAAAAATGACTAAACCAATATTATATATTTTGTTTAGTTGTGTACTTTGATTATTAGA